ATGTGCCACAGTGATTAATTAACTACAACTTTGCATGCCCTGTAGTGGCACAAAATATAACGTTTTTTCCAACCATTGAGTCCTCAAATTCTAGACTATATAATTGTGTTTAAACAGATTTAAAACTTACCGAAGTTGCATTTCATAAGATCTCCATATTTGCCTCCTGCATGTGTTTGCTTACTCCGTGCGGGGAATAAAAATCCAAACTTGATCCTTCATCTGGTGGCCACTTGTGCTGACTTGAGGTTGTTCTTTGATGTTTGATTTGATCAACTTTCTTTGCTCAAATATTTTCTAATTAATATATGTAATAATTGTTATTTATTGTAAATGTTAAAAAATTGGCTGAATATTTTCTTAGCAAACAATAAATAACCATGTATTAAAATTATGTAAGAATAGTAGTAATTTAATGAAAAGTGATAATCATTATGTGTTGATTTACTCCCCCCAAAAATACCTCTGCATCATTTTAAAAATTATTAAATCTCATCACAACACTAAATTAACAACCACAGTTTAAAAATAAATTAAAAGGAAATGTTAAAAATAAAAACTAATCTCACAGTAGTTGTCATTGAGATGAATTACCATCTGAATGGCAGATTAATCTGCCATTCAGATTCATGTTTGTGTACCTGACAAACACAAACTAACACAATTATGTGTTGAAATATTCAAATAAATATTCAACACATACTGCGAGTCAAATTATTATATTCATTTTAACACACAATGTGTAAAATTAACACAAAATATGCTTTTAATTTATAACACATTTTTTGTGTTCTTTTTTAACACATCTTTTTGGACAAAAAATTAATATATGTAATAATTGTTATTTATTGTAAATGTTAAAAAAAATGGCTGAATATTTTCTTAGCAAACAATGGGGTCACCATTTTATCATTTGTTACAGTTGTCTTTTTTCCTGCAGGAGGATCACAAGGAAACCAGGGAGAAACGAGAAAAGTGACGAGACGAACCGGCAACCAGCGACTAACAATGAGGTGCTTAAATACTGGAGAGGTTGTGAGCTTGACAAAAGACCTGGGATGATCCATCGATCCATTTTCTTACACCGTTGTCCCTAGTGGGGTCAGGAGAAGTGCTGGTGCCTAAACAGCAAAAACTGCTGTGTTAAAAATAACCCAATTCGTAACCCAGCGCTGGGTCAAATATGGACCGACCCAACGCTGGGTTGTTTTAACTCAACTGGGTTGGATTGAGGGTTTAACTCAGCACATTGGGTTATGGCAACTAACCAAAGGTTGGGTTAAATTGACTTGGTTAAATTGACTTGGTTAAATTGGTTAAATTGACCCAAAATTGGGTTGAAACTCATAACCCACCATAAGGGTTATACCACTATAGTTGGGTTAAAAAAAAGATTTAATTTTAAATTGCACTATATAAAAACAGGATTAAAAACAATCTGAATTTAAAGCCTCTTTTATTTTCACGTGATACATATATAGAGCCAGCAGATTTCATTTACAAAAGTAACAAAAACATAAGTAAGTTGTTTCAAAAGTATATAGTTAAATCACTTCAACTCATTTGGTTACAACTCCAGAAGTATCTGTTACTACACATTAGAAAACATTTCATGTAAAAAGTCTATTTTATAGCAAACTACAAGTAAAACTTTCAGCCATTAAACAAGGAGCATTTTTAACGACACTTTAGCATTTTTGCCTGTCTCCCTGCATGAGGACATACGGGTTGTCACATTTTGTAGATGCGCCACCAGGTTTGTCCCAACCTGATGGAGAGAAAAGACAGAAAAAACAGGCCATTAGTGATGCACTTATTTAAACAGCAAACAATTGGAGCATGATTCAGAGATCAATGTTGACTTACAGGCTGGATATCAATGAAACCATCTGAACTTCCAGGTTGATGGGTCTGAAACTCTGATCCCAAATGTGTAAGGTGGAACAGGGAGGAGAACTGGCAGCAGCCGCAGGGCTACATCATCTTGTCTGTCTGGCAAACATAAGCTTGTGTTAAAATGTTAAATGTTAAAAACAGTTTAGAAAACATCTCTTGAGCTTCAATACCTTAAGGGAGAAAATTCATGTTGTTGAGAAGATGGCCGCTCCTTTCTCTTCTTGGCCATACAAAAGATCTTTGTTGAGAACAAGAGAGAGAAGACACAAAAACAGGCCTTTAGTGAATTTAAAGAATCAGTGTTAAACTGATTCTAGTTTAACACAAAACCTCACTACTGAATGTGATGCACTTATTTAAACAATATGAGCATGATTCATAGATGAATGTTGACTTACAGGCTGGGTATCAATGAAGCCTTCTGAACTTCCAGGTTGATGGGTCTGAAACTCTTCTCCCAAATTAGTAAGGTGGAGCAGGGAGGAGTACTGGCAGCAGCTCCAGGGCTACATCATCTTCTATATCAAACATAAGCTAGTGTTAAAATGTTGCAGTAACTAAAAAGCATGAAAACATTTTAGAGAACATTTCTTCTGCGCTTCAATACCTTAGGGGAGTAGACTCATGTTCTTGGCCATACAGAAGGTCTTTGTTGAGAACAAGGAGTTTGGGTTTCGCTTAATTCTCCTGAAGATCCTGGATGTAAAATTACAAAATCTATCAG